CATGTCTCTTTCTTGCTAAACTGTTGCAGCCCTGTCACGATTCCCATGTGAAATGGCGCTGGATCAATGGCTACCACGATACGTGCTCTCAATTTTTTGTCACTTCGTCTCTGGTCTCAATAACCATCTTTTCAAAATTTTAAATTGTAAAATTACATTATGTCAACTTCTAATAGGTGAAAATTCATCTTTAATCCAGGGGAAACTTTCGATAGCTAGATTAAAAAACAAATTTTCTTCATTCTCCTCCATCTAAAATTTTCTTGGACTATAAAAAAAAATTTAAAAAAAAGCAGTTTCCACTAGTTTTAAATAGTTAATCGATTTATGTTTCATAAATTAAACGTCATGTATGATACATGCATCGCGTGCGTACGCTTAGAAAGTAAAATAAAGTAAACATCAAAATTTTATTATAGGAAGACACAATATGGAAGGAAAGTATTTTTTCATGTCGGAGCGATTTTCACTTTCAGGATATAAAATGTGATGTTTGAATTTATTTCAAGAATTACAATGAGAGAAATCAGTAGGCTTCATTGGGAAGCCAAATAGTCGCGGACGACTGTCAACTTATTGGATAATTTTTATGAGTGTATATAAAGTAATAGCGATAATGGCGTATTAGAAGCAACGAAGAACTGGCATGCGCCAGTCGATAAACACCAAGGCAGACAAATTAGTAAAGAGACATGTAATCGCGCGCGTGCGACCAGCGACGCTCGGATCGAAGCACTGCACGAGGCTCCATTGTAGCGCCCAAGTAATGGTTTTCATCGCTCGACAAGCTTTTAAGCGTGCAAATACACAAGCACGCATGCACAAGGGCCGTAAGGCGCGTAGGTAGGGACAGCTATAAGAACGCCATCGACGCCGAAACGATGAGATAAAGAGGCGCGACGATTTCCTGCGCTCAGCTACACTCTATATGTGCTATACCTCATAGGCTAGACGACAATGATTACGACAAGGATGGGGATCAAATGCTCAGAAACGTGTGTGATAGACGCGACACGTTGGGGCATCGGCGCACGCCGCTCGAGGCTAACTTCATACATACACACACACACACATCGCCCGTAAAGCATAAACGCAAGAGCAAAGGTAAACCTTGGCGGTAAGTTGGGTTCACGAGCACCCCAATCTCCCATCCCTCCTGCTTCTGGCTTATAAGGCTGCGTATTATAGCTCGCTCTGTATAATGTATATAATGTGCTACACACCCATGATCCTCTGCGACTGGGCGACTGGCCCCGCTCATGGGCGCATCGCAGCGAATCCGGTTCGCAGATGAGAAGAGAAAGGACAAACAAAAATAAGCATGACAATGGTAATTCATGATATAATGTCTATGGGACGTGTAATGCGCGATTACAAAACGGTTTTAGATTATTAACGAGACGAGCATTTGAATAATTGAACGGCCTCGGCTACATTCGCTTTGCTGCAATCTCGAGGCTTCGTTTACTATACCTACGGATCCTAATGCGGACGAAGGATGAAGGAATTTCGCCCAAGGATTAAGGATCAGGATTTCGTTTCGCATGTACCGAGCTCCGCTACCCTGTGTCGCGCTGCAGCTAATGTACCTCTGCTTATTCCTGCGGATCATCCATTACATCTACACATAAATGTGCTGGGGCTCGTTTGATTACTCCAGCTTCTTTATTCCGCAGCTCGTGTAAGTACATCTCGATAGGTGACCCGTATTACAAGATGTTCATCGTACCCGTAGCGCAAATTTTCATGGCCACATTTGCATGATTCATAGAACGAAGCTGCTCTAAGCACTGATTATACCGAGAGGGGCAGAAAAACATTTTATTAGTTTAGAAGCGTAGTCGCCTGCTCTTTAAAATTTTCAGCGCTAAACGAAATTTGCGTATCAATTGCGATCAAAGTATCGAGAGATGATTTCGTTTGTCGCGATAACCTTCCGACTTTCTTGTCAAATGTTATAGCGTGCATTTGAAAGTGGAAAATACTTGAAGTTCAAAAGAAAATAAGCTCGTTCAGGGTGTTGCGCAATTGCGCAATGATTATTTTAGCTAGTTGAGAGCATCCACTGTAACAACAAATTGTCGTCTTATGTAGGTCACTTTCTCGCATGCGCGCAATGATCAGCGATTTCCGTATACATATTAGACCGTACGCTTATTTGTAAAAGGTCTAAGAGAAATAACCATTCAATCTACGTTTAAGCTCATCTCTTAATAATACGTGTCTGTACTTTGAAGTATCCGCGCACCGAGAGTGAATAAAAAACTTACCTATCCTCTCGGACTGATTATAAACTTTTACGACTATATACATTGTCGATTGCATATTACGAATGTGATATTTTTCATCAGCTTGCTAGGAAAAAAGGGAAAGCCTTTTTTATTTCCGTAAGTAATCTGGTCAAATTCAACACGTCCGATTAGAAATTTCATACATCCAATGTATCATTAATGTTTGTCCAAAAGAGAAGAGTCCTAGTTATATATGCTATTTATGTTCGGAAGAGAGCGAGCTACATAAGTGTGAAGAATGAAAAATCAATTCACACCTGTTGTCAGGTGGAAGCAGTGCGACAGAGCAGCAGCTCTTCCTGTTTGTGACGTCGAGTCGGCGAGAATAATGCGTGTAAATTAGAGGCTCTTGAGCAATTGCCGGCGTAGCTCGTCCAATCGTCGCTCCAGCTCGTTTCGGCAAAGGTATAATGCCGCTCGTGCGAATAATCAGCCGTCCCCCGACTCGTGCCCATGCGATGCCTTCCTCGCGATGATAAGACCGAAACGCCCACGTCTTCTATCCTTTTCCGTCCTCCCTACTCGGCGAGAGGTAGTAGCGCGTGAAAATTGACGACGACGACGACGACTCGAGGACGATCGGAGGAGGGTGGCTTTTGCCTGCTGGCACGGAAATTCCGGGCCGTCGTGCGCGACTGATGTAATATGACAAACAACGTGCGGAACTCGCATCTACGCGCGACTCGCTGCACGCCGAGCCGACCTCTGTAATATGCGTTATGCGTCGGCGACACTGTCAGCGCCGCTTTGTTGTTTTCCATGCGAATCATATCACGTCATTGCTTGTTATTTTATGGATTTCAAAATCAAAGTATTTCAGTCCTTCAATCATATAATATTACCATCACATGAAGCAAAAATATTCCTTTAATAACTTTGACATTTTCCCCGTTTATTATATTTGTAAAATCGTTTCTTTGACGCTTAAAACCTTTCATGTTTTATGTTTTTTATTTCAAATAAAAATTCGACTCAATAATTTATCAATAATACAAATCAGGTAATAACAAAAAATATAAAGTTTCAGCGCGAGTTTGGAGTTTTTATGTAAACAGACGATTATGCATTGCTGTTATCGAATTACTCCGGTTCCCAAACAAAATTTTAAAATGATATTTTATCGGCACGTCAAGGTATATTTTATCCAAAAATAAAATTTTTAATCCAGTTCTCAATTGAAAATATCGTCAAAATGATTTATGATGTCCTAAAGAACCTCAAAATTAAGATAAGTTCAAAGCTTTTCAGATAATTATTCAGTAAAAGTTTTAGAAAACAATTGAAAATTTGAATTTTGAACTGACTTTGCCAACTTCTTAACGCTTTATCTGTCTGGCTCCCTCTGTTTTGTAAGGCTTATACACGCAGCCGTCGCAGAAATACTTATTTTTCACCAACTGATGTATTCCAACCCCTTGACCAATTCGAGATGATCCTTTCCCCTGTAGCTCGATACTATGTATCACCTTAGCCGCTTTCGTCCTCTCTCTGTCTCCCGCCGAGAGAAGGGGAACACTTACTGCGAGTATTGCAATAGAGGGGCGTGGCCATGTGTAATGCCACGCCTACTCGATATATCGAGCCAGAACATCGTGTCCTTGTCTGCGGAGCTTTACGCTCATCGCAAATTTGAGGATGTACAGCGGACGATCATATTATGATTGAACATCACACGCACGCGCAGCTCTTTTGTATTAATAAGTGGCGCACTTCACTGATAGTATCATATAGATATCGCATCGCCGGCTTGATAATGTGCCTACGCTTGCCAGCCACTATATGTATGTGCGTATGTTTACCAACACTGTTGTGGCTCATTCGTAACTAGTAAAGCCGGGATTCTGTTTGATTTTGATACAACTAAATTTATTACATTTTATAAGAAACGATGAAGAATACCAAGTGAAAACTTTAACGAGTTTATCAAAATATATGGTGGAGGAAGTAGATAAAGCTCAATAATTTCTCAAGATAAATTACAGATAATTCATATTTCTAATATACAGGAAATACATTCAACGGTGCAACAATCAACAATATATACATAAAATTTGGGAATCAAAAAAATTTCTATTAAGTAACACGAAAAAAATCTGATAAAACTTGAAATTTTAGACGAAAAAAATAATTGCCTCCAACATTTTTTCATAAAATTTGAATTTTTCATTATCATACTTTCATTCGAAGATTGTAAAAAAATATTTTTTTAATCAAGTAAAAATGTTAGTTGAGTTATCCATTATTATGAAGTAATGTTTGACGAGAATCAAACAAATTCGCGTGCTATCTCGTAAATCTGATTTTAAGTGAGTGCTGAAACTCGATATTCAATGCTTTTTACCTATTCTCAAAAATGTAGCTTTTACATGTTTTTTTTTCCAGTTTGGGTCTGAGAAAAATAGATGAAAATGAATTTTTACCGTAAATGTGGTTGCTAATCCACGCGTTACCAATCTCAGTTCACAATGTTGATGGCTTTACTTGTCAATATCTATGCTTTATCCGTTTAAAGGAGGTTGGAAAAGAGAAGATTAGAAATCATTAATCAATCTAATCACTTGACGAAACCAACCATAATCCCAATAGATAATTGATTATTATGTGATACATGTAATTTTATGGGGGGTAATATAACGAATCTCAGTGAAATCAGCCAGACGCGCATGAGAATTTTTAATTTCCAAGAATTTTTAAATCAAAAGTTGAATATCTGAAATGCGTTTATTCGCTTTTAATGTGTGCCAGTGAGTAAGGTGTATAAGTGAAAATGATATACAACGTGTATAATAGACGAGTGAGCGAGGCCCGAGTTTTGTGTGATAAATACGTCATTAAGTTACAAGTCGCAGGTTTTGACGCTTGGCTCACGGGCCGATGAGTTGGCGTGCGCAGCTCTCGAAACCAAGTGCGAGCGAGGAAAGCGAGAGTAAGCGAGACGGAGCGAGATGAGTGCAGGATAGACACCGAATAGAGTGTCTGGGGGAGGCGTGGCCCGCTGCGGTGGCGGCGGCGGCATGAAAAGCTAGGAGAAATGGACACGCCCATGCGGTGCGACGTTACGTGCCATCGGCGCCTGGCGCGTGAACAATACTCGAAATCATCGACAGACACCCTCGCGACAGCCAAGCCGAAAGTGTTCGGGACATTCGCTCAGCGCAGCTCGCTTTAGCTCATCGGCCAGAGAGGCAACCTCGACACGACTCGTCTTATTCGTTCTGTTTTTTCGACTTTGCTCGACAGACCAATCAAAGTGATATCGACGTACGAGTTATTGTGAAAAGTTTCCTACGAGTGGATCAGTTGAATTTCGCGCCGGACAGTGAGTTGAATCCGCTATCGCTGTGAGGCCTCGGTCGCGCATACCGGCCTCGGTCCTGTGTCGAGAATCGCTGCTCGTCAGAAGAAACTCGCCGATCCAAACGCTAAATTAAAGTCGACATCCTGGCTACTATGGTAGAGAGCAGTGCTTATAGCGGCGATTCTTCCCGGTCGCCGCTGGCAGAGTCACCGTCGCCGCGTTTGATTGCCCACCATCATCACCATCACCATCACCATCACTTGTCGTCGAAAACACCGCCCAGCACGACTTCCGAGCATCTGTTCGAGCATCAATTGGACCTACAGCGTAATTTGTACTCGCCGGAATCGCGTCGTAGAACTCCGGCCTCGGGCTCGGCGTCGCTCTTCACCATTGACAGTATATTGGCGCCTCGATCGAACAATAACAACAACGACAGCAGCAGTCCCAATCACAACAACAATAGCAGCAGCAGCAGCCACAACAACAACAATAACAATAACAACGTATCCACGGCGGCCCTCGTTGCAGCGGCGAGTCTCCAATCCGCCATTCACGACAGGAATGCAGAAGTAAGCTCGGCCGTCGGGACCAACGGCAGTGTCAGGCAGGCTGCAGCGGCAGCGGTGGCAGCCGCCGCGGCTGTGGGAGTGCATCCTTTGCAGCAGCAGTTGCACCACTTGGCTTTCACGTCGGCTGACTTTTTGGGTGAGTTGACTTTTTCCCTCTTTTACTCTTCTCTTGTCGATATGACTTTGGCTAGAATCGCCAAGAAGCAAAAAATATCTTTCGCGCGTGTAGGCCTTAGCTAGTAAAACTCACTTGTAAACACGCACGGAGCACGTATATGAAAAAACGATCTTGGGTTTTCGTAGTGAAAGCTTAACCCGCGAAGGGGAAAAAAGCCCAAGGTGCCGAAATTCCCACAGACTTTGTAAGAGCTTTCGGCTTGTTTTCCTCGTGAAAATCCCCAGGGAGTATGCAGTCGGATGAGTGGTGCTTTCGCATCGTCTTGTACGTCAGCAACTGTGTTCCCTAAGTGTGTGTGTGTGTGTATGTGTTTGTATACAAAGAAAAGGGACTTTGCGGGAAGACGAGTAGTGCGCGGTGATTCGAGAACTTAACACTGATATCGGATTGCACTTTCCAACACGGACGAACAAAATATCTGTGAAAATCTATGAAAGGATTTTTACCGAACTTGCCTATGGTTTAATGATAAAGTTATTATTATATGACACTTTCTTTGATGCTGTTGTATCGAATCGAATAAACCGTATGTAGGCATAATTATTGCATAAAAAAGTAGTAATTGATTCGACGTACTTGGTACACTTGGAATGTAAATAAAGGAAAAGTATGATGTTGTTGGCAAGTTAATGTTCATATCGGTAAATACATGTGAAAAATTTGAACTTGTTTTATTACTACTTTATGTACGCTCGTAAATATAAAACAAATCGCCCACGCATTAAAGCTTTTTTGGCGAAAAGTTGGAGAGGTAAAGGATGAGCGGTGCGCAAAGGAAAATCCGCGTTAAGATCTCCGCACACGCACCAATGATCTCGCGCGAGCGAAAAACTCGCGCCAGAAAATACTTGCGGAGATTTATCGTCGCGACTGACTGCATATCGGCCGCCTAAGAAAAAACATTACGCCTAAGCTGCTTTTATGTATGCGCGCAAAACTCGGCGCGCTGAGAGAGATTCTTTTTTTTCGCTCCTCGCGCCTCTTCTTATTTTTTTTTTTTTCACTCGACGACGCGTCCCCCGGGATCCACGTGCGCTCGAGACTCGATATTTTAATAGATAATACTCGCAGCTTTTCACTTCGATTTATGTACATATTATTATATATATGCGCGTTTTACACATTGAAGCGGAAATACCTGTGACGTAAGAAAATAAGGAGGAAAAAGAACGGAGTTTTTAGGAAGACGTTACTTTTGTATACTTGCAGCGGCAGCGGCGGCAGGCTACCCGGCTTTGTACTCGAACAACTACGTAGCGGCGATGGCCGCCTCGCTGCATCCAGCGTCGGGTGTCTTTTACCACGGTAGTCATCCTTATCAATTGCCGGGCTCGGTGAGCGCCGGAGGTGTCATGACAAAGCGCAAAAGACGCCACCGGACGATTTTCACGGAGGAGCAGTTGGAGCAGTTGGAAAACACGTTCGAGCAGACGCATTACCCGGACGTGCTGCTGAGAGAGCGATTGGCTATGCAAGTCGACTTGAAGGAGGAGAGAATCGAGGTAAATTGCGCGCGCAAAGATCTTCGAACGAGCCCACAATCTGCTGTTTGGGCAAACACGCGACGCCGCTTGTTTACCGAGTAATTAGCAAAACCAATAATCCGAACGCGTCGTAACTCCGGTAGGACGTGTTCGGCTCGTTTCGCTCGATTTAATTTCCGTCGCCGCTGACGAAACTTGCATTCCATTTGCCTCTCGTTCTTAAATCGGCCGTTTAGTCGAAATAGTTGGCCAGCTTTGCCGCAGCTTTGCATAGTGCAAATAATCGACGAGACTCAAGGTCGGCCGAGCAGCAGTGCCGAGGCGAACTGCGAGATCGATGTATAAGTTGTTAGGAAGATGTAGTCGCTGGCTGCTGATGAAGCGAAGGGTGCGTCGATGATGCTTCGCCAGCAAATTGACTCGGACAGGCGTGATGCTTGTGCGAGCTCCGCTTCTGTATTGCTTGGATAAATCTGCTGCCACGGCGATCGCAGTAATCGTGCGTGAATTTTATACGCATACACGGACGAACCGAGGCTGGCCCCAAAGAATCTCCAAGTTTGCGTCGATGAAACATTTTTGTTTGCTCGTAAGCCTAGTTATACGCTGGCGCTACACCGCAGCTATTTTTTCATGTTTGTTTTTGCCAAAAGAAAAAGTTTCGGTTAATTTTTTCCCATTCCTTCTTTCTCTCTATCTCTATCTCTGTTTATAACGATTGAAAATGCACAGTATCACGTCGTGCTGTTCCTACAATTAATCTTTTGCATTACTCTGGTTATTTTTCTAATTCCGACTTTGTGCTTTTACCAGCTAGTCAGATTACGCGGAAAAAACCCGCGTCCTCGGCAAAATTTAATCTACAAAGCCCATTAGGATGCTCCACCTAAGCTCTAATTTCGCGGAAAAAAATCGAGGAAAACGACGCTACTCATCCTTGCCTATTTTATTACGGCATGTACGGAGCTCGGCTCATCAGCCTAGATTATTAAACAAACATGAAAAGAAAACAGTTGATTTCACACCTTTTCCAGCCTTCGTGTCGACTCGTTTCTCATGACATAGGCATTACGTGCCGTGATTATTTTGATTCACCGGCTAGAACCTCAAGAGGACCTTTCATTAATTTCATATACAAAACTGCTTTGCGTGCGCGCGATATGGCTGAGTGTTTATCGAGATGATTCGAGGATTAGGAGAAATTGAAGCCGAACGAGACAATTGGTGGGAATCGTCAAGGAGTTTAATGATCGCTACATTTTCACTTGTTTATTTAAAATAGTTGCAGTGTTTTTTCTTTATTTGTTGTTTGAAAAGCGCCAAGTTTATTTGGATTCGATTATCCTTTTCCCAACCAATATTGCGCTTCGTCAATGGGTCGTTCGGCGAGCTGTCGGCAAGCGCTACGCGAAATTGGAAAATCAATAGCGCATTAATTATGCACTATCGGCATTGTTTGCACGGAACTTTAGATTATGAGCTTTGGTGCGCGGCATTCGGAGCGATTATACGGCCGAATTTTGGCAATCGACGGCCATTATTCAACGAACGATTGTACGCAGCAGCCAAACATCCGAATGAATGCGTGACATAAACAATGGGACTGGAGGCCGCTTAAAGCCCGACACGAGTTTGAGCGTGTGCGTTTAATTAAAATTGTCGTGTCGCGACCGCTTCATGCATTTTTCCGTCTCATGTATGAATCCTCGGACTCGTATAGCTCTTGGCCGACTCGGCTTTCTGCTCTGATCAGGAAAAATGAAATCGAGCGCGAACGTAAGCCATGGCCTCGCACCTCCCGAAGCATAAAACGTGTATTTTGCCTTGCGACTATCCCGGTCAATCTAAAATCTTTCTTTCAGTTGAGCCGAGCATTTACAATACCAAACAAACGCGCGGCCTCTGCTTTTTATGTGTTACGCGCGCGCGTGTCTATTATTCCGGCCCACCCGTTACACAATTTTTGATCACACACACACACGTTTTCCTCAACTTATGCGGTATAGATTGCCTCTACAATACGATTTGTGCTGACGCTTTACCTAATATACCTACTGTGACCTGCATTTCATCTTTGTTTACACTTTCTCGATTTTTTTCCTCATTAGATACATATTAATACGGCTCATGGAATGTAAGATTTTATCCGTAGTCTTTTGTAGCGAGAGGTGTGAAATATCTCACTTTTAAATCATCGTTGCCCAAGAAGTGCTCTAATTATAGCTGTCGACAGATAAGACGTGGAAATGATTCTATTAGAGTCGGAACCGATTTCTTTTGTTTTTCCTACTAATAATCTAACTCTATCTCTATGACGTATATTGTTTTGAATTTTGACGAGATTACCAAAAAGATTGACCAAGCGTTTTATGGAGTTTTCAAAGCTTTATTCACTAACTTATTTCATAGGCGGTATAGGAATATTACACCATGAACGAGAGATTAACACCGCGATGCGCTTTGTAGATTAAATTTTGTCCCAAAAAATATCCTACCACACAACATTTCAGCTAACTCGTGTTATAAAAACTCAATTCAATAGATTATCGTGTTATTTGATAAATTAATTATAAAACTCGTTAAATAATTATTGGGCATTTTTAACAGTCTTCAGAAGACAAAATATTCAACAAACCGTTCAATTTTTTGCAGGTTTGGTTTAAAAATCGCCGTGCCAAGTGGCGAAAGCAGAAACGCGAGGAGCAAGATCGAGTGCGAAAACTGCAAATGGATCGACCACGAGCCAATAACGCCACGTCAGGCGAAACAACCAACGTCAATCCATTAAGACTTGCCGCACAATCCGGAGGGCCACTTCAGTCACGTCATCACGATAACGACTCTAGTTCAGATCTCGAGGTCGCGTAGTCTGGACTGCGCCCCTAAATTTTCTAGTTGCAAAAGTGAATTAGGAATTTTATTATTATTATTATCAATTGTTACTCTTTATATCCATCTTTAGGTTGTAAAAAGACTTTTTATTACAATGCTATGATCTGAACGTAATGAGCAAATCGCATCACGTTTCTTGTCCCAAGTACGAAATTAGCGGCGTTGATTTAATTTTTGCTCGAGACAAGAACATCATTTTTAACGTGTATAAATTCGATGCCATTTGCCCAACCTGTGATTTTTTCGTGATCAAAATTGTAAATGTGCCAAATTCGAGGCGTCTTTGCAAATTCGATTAAGCTTTAAAAAGCATTAATATTTTCACGAATCGAGGAGACAAATCGAAAGTATGCAATAATGTATTTTACAACGTTGTTGTAATGCAATTATTCAACGATTAGTTTTAAATAATATAAAAAATGTCCATGACATTTAGTTGTGAATATAATTTTGTTTTTCTCGTACGATAATAAGATGCGATAGCTAAAAGTATACTCGATCAGAATTTTTTAATCGATGAATCGATTATGTACTCAAGTAACCGTACGACTGTAAATATTAGTAAATGTATATATTTTTGTAAATAAGAAACTCAAATGTATAAAAATCAAAATTATATTAGCGAATATTACTGTTACGGAGTAAAAATACAGTAGACTCGAGTGATAATGTAACTGTTTTTTTTTAAATTTTCTTTTGTTATGAAAAATAAAATGGTTGCATTGAATCAATAATCATATAATTAAAATGAAAATACAAAAATAAATATATAACCACGAATCAAGATTTACATTCTCCTCGGGATAAACTTGTTTTTGAGACGAAAAATGTATTTAATAAAAATTCTATCGATCCAAACTCTACAGGACTTTCATTGCATCAAATTATGCTTATTCATCCCTAAGAAAAATTAAAATTTCTAAAGATTCATACAAAAAGAGATTACTGGGTATAAATGGATTGTGTGAAATAAAAAAACAAGTCCTTCCAAAAATTTGTTCTATAATGAAAAGTATACAAATAATCTTGAAAGATCCATTGAGACTCACACCTCGATATGTTGAAATCCTGGCCGAAACAATGAAAGAAGAAAATCTGCGTATTTGCCTTTCGGCTTTTTCAGCGCTTCGCGTTAGCGAAGATAGGATTTACTGGAGAGAAAAAAGTAGCGCTTATTGATTTTCTCAAAGGAAGCGAAAAAATCAGATTCGTCGAAGTGAAATCCTTTACTAACGCGAAGGCGCCGCAATTAATCTGCGCGCACAGTGCGGAGAAACTCGAGGAGTTTTGCACATAGCCTCGAGAAGGGCACGCGTACGGGGGCATAAACTCCATGCGCCGCCTGTGTGCGGTAAGCGTGTGTGCAGCCTCGTAACAAAAGACAAATCTTCGAGCTAGCTCTCGGTCTTGGCGAAGAAGTTGCGAGCACACAACACATAGCCAAGCTCGAAGAACTTTCGCGAGCGAGAGAAGTGGATTAAGACGCCGGAAGTCATTGAGCCGTCTAATTTTCTTGGTAGCTTTATGGTTAAATCACTGCCTAAATTTATTGAGAGATGGCTTTGATGGCTGGGACAAAGTTTTACAGAGTGTGCAGTCTCTACTATTTTCTATCAACTATTTTCAATCTGCAAAATCATCAAGTTCAAATACTATCAAAGTTTCCGTTTTAATCGTAAAATGAAAAAATATATATTTGCTTACGTAATAAATACTTGTTACACGTGTTTAACAAAATAGACTGTCCCAATCTAGAGTTTTCAAAAATCCTTAAAATTACGACTAACAGTTAATTAAACTATCGACAATTGGACAATTTTTCAGCCGCATGTTTTACGCGGGACTTTCTTAATCTTTTTTTGCATTAGTTTGTCTTCTGCGTAAGGACATCTTTGCGATTTCAAAGGGCACTTTTTCTTAGCCGCACCTTCATCTTCGTCGTCATCACCGCATTTCCTCGGACGTTTTCTATCGCACGGAGCACCACGCGATGTATCCTTCATCCTAACAATTTCGAGAGGCCGAAGAGTAAATTGACTGCACTCTGGCGAACCGATGATCAGAATTATGCTACCAATGAGCTCTTCTATACAAGTTGTTCTGTCGAGCAAATGCGTAAATTTGAAAAATCATGTCGTGAAACAAGGATGATTTTAAGAGTTGAGAAGATAGCTACCTCAGCAAGTAGACGGATCCATCTCCAGGCACAAATATGGGAGGTCCGTAGGATTTGACGTCGCACAAGTAATAGACGCCAAAGTGTTTGAATACACCCAAGCGACTATTTTCACAGGCCAACACAGCAAACTCGTGCTCTTGAAATAATTTTTCAATCGATCGCCAGAGACAACGATGGCCTCTTAGGTACAATTGGCCACAAATGACCGGTAACGCTTGCACATGACACTCGATTTCACCGATGCTAAAGCTATCGCGAGCTTTCAAGTTCCAGTCGTCCTCATCGACGTGGCTCTTGGTTGTTTGAAGGCTCAGCGCACGATTCGTGTAAAAACTGCAAAATAGAAATGAAAAATGTGCATAATTTAGAACGCAAGGGGGTACGGAAGGAGTCGAGGGTGTAACAAAAGCACTGACTCGTCACCGCATACAACGATGGCATCAAGAACTTGCGGCGTCCAGTACTCGGGTGTGTTGATGAGGACCATGGCCGCGCAAACGGCATAGCAGGCGCTCGCCTGCCTATTGCGATTTTCCTCGGCGAATCGCTCATCGGTTATGTGATATTTTCCCCAGAGCACGTAGAAACGACCTGGTTGGATCACGTCATAATATTGCCATTTGGGTGTTGGCTCCAACCCGGAGAAGAAGCTTCTCTTCCAAACAAAGTGCTTCTGGTCGAGCCAAATTGATTTTTCAAGCTTCTCGTCCGCCTGCAACGAATAGCAAGGAGACAAAATTATTTGAAATAATTTACGTTGAATTTGATATCGCGTTTAGAAGGTCCAATTAAGTGCAATTACCTCGGACAATCGATCGATGTCGGTCGGACTTTCGGGGTCGTCGCAAGTCTTGTCGGTCAATCTAGCCTCTGGATCGTAAGTGCAAGACTCCTTGTCTTTGGGCGTCAGCTTGAGCTTGGCCTTTCTCGGGCCTCTCGTGAACAGTTTGACGTTGTGTATGCGACACGAGTGGAATATGACTTGGTAAATTTGCACGGTGAACTTGTGCTTCCTCTTGATGCCGCGCTTCCTCAAGTCCTTCTCTTGCTGCGTGACGACGGCCTCGTAAGTGTAGGCTCTGACGGTGAGCAGCATGAGGTGCCTCTTGAGCGCGTCCCTCGAGCAGAACTTCATGATGCAGGCGTAGCCCGAGTCGTCCCAGAAGCCGTAGTCGCTGCAGCGGTACGGATTGTACAGGTACCAGAACGAGCCCTCCTGCCAAAAGGCCATGCTGAACCTCGACGTCCTGATGATGCAGTTGTTGTAGCGCATCTCGAGGCCGTCGAACCACTTCTCGATGCTCTTCGTGTACTTGTTAACCGTGATCCGCGCGCATTCGCGGTGGCGCTGCGTGCCGAAGGTAGCCTCGGTCAGCGTCAGCTCGGGCCGCAGCTTTTGACGCTTCACCTCTACCTCCTTCTCGAGGTATTTGAAGCCGATCGACGAGCTCATTGGCACGTCGCAAAGTTCCTGGATCAGCTCCAGCTCGATGCTGTAGTTGTAATTGAAGACGAGAACGTCGTCAAAGATCTGACGCTCTTTGATGTTCAAGTGACCGATGTGAGTGAACAGTAGCCAGGCGTGCTGGTAAATGTAATCGATGTTGGCGCCCCACGCAAACTTGTATCTGAAGCCGTCATTAACCACAAACATTTACGCTTTTTCCCCTTTCAACGTTGTCTCGAGTGCACCCCTACCTCAATTGGGTTTTAGCCAGCAAGGCTACCATCGCCTGGTAGAGGCAAAATTTCCAAGTCGTGCGACGACTCCTCGACAGCTCACCGAGATGCATCCCAGTCAAGCCTCTAAGGCAAACGTTGGCGTACTCGAGTCTTGCGTTATTTTTCGACGTCAAACTCCAATAAATGTAATCGCCGAATACCAGGCCAGGTTGATTGCCACAAGCTCGATCGATCGTGACTTTGATGTCGGGTTTGGGCTTCGTCACAGGAATTCTGGCGTGCCCGAGCTCCTTTTGGTGCGCCATCTCTTCCATTCTCTCGTCGTCGCTCGTACCTGTGTGAAAAGTAGTCTCGAAAAACTGCCCATTCAAATGCCAATGAGCAAATTCAAAAGGTCTATTTCTTACCGGGTGAGTCTATGGCGTTGACTTCGCAGGGCGATTTCAACATTTTCTTCATCTTCATTTTTCTCAGCCTAATTTTCATTTTTCTCACATCATCCTCGTCTATGCATGGCCACGATCTTGGCCAATCCATTCGACTTTTAACATTCTCATTGGCGCTCTATATAAACAAAAAAAATCAAACGATTGTCCATCAAAGTTTACGATGAAAGCCAACGAACCGATGGGTTATCGCGCAGAACTTTCCAAATCGGATCGGGCAGAGTGCAGGCTTTTTGAACTTCTGCACTAAAGGCGTGTATAGGCCGAGGGGAAGGCACAATTTTGCCCAAATATTCCTCTTTGACCAGGGGAGCGCGGGGCTTTCGCTCAGTTTTATTGAACATGCCCGATGTCTCTTGCTCATCTTCCCTTTTTTTTGCCAAATCGTCTACGAACCTGTCGAAATTTTCGAGCGTAAGACGAGGTTTAAAAAATTAATAATTTAAAAAAAAATATTATTGAAATGTTCACATTCTCATGTAGGTGCGCCAAGGAGGATCGTCTGAGCACTTCCATTCCTCTTCTTTAGCACAAGGTGGCTCTTGTGGAGGTATTTTTTTCTTCAGAGTACAATCTTTGACAGCTTCCTGTGCATCTTCGGGTCTAACAGAAGGCCGGCCAATTGCCGGATTACTTTTGCTCGCCATCTTACTGCGCTTGTCACTTATAGTTGAGTTTTTTATTTTATCATACTTGAAAATTTAGACATTGATTTTGACTGGATTGTTCAAACAGGGAGAGAAGCCCGAATACTGTTTTCAGGTTAAAAACAAAGGACTGCTTTTTTTTTTATGTTAGTATCGTAATAATCAAATTCGAGTTTTACCAATCTCCATCAGTTTAATCCGGGTTGAAAAAAGCAAGCGGCAATGGAAATGCTCGAGTCGATAAAAATCTAAATAAAATGGATACATTTGGGTGTAGGTTGAAAGGGGCCTAGCAAGCAGCTGCCTACAGGTCTATTGTACGAATACGAGCTACGAGCTGTTAACCCAGCGATTTTCTAATTATTTTCCACAGCCCCGAAGCCATAAATTTTCGTCGATGATATGTTCTCTCTCTCTCTCTCGTTCTCTGGCAACATGGGTAGTCAATCACGACTGCGTACGCGCGGTGCGGCGCTCAACTACCGCTGCGAAGCCAACGATGCTAGATTTTCAAAGTCTTTATAAAATTACCGGCCTGATTCCACAGCCAATGGAAATAAAGTTTGAAGCCTTATCGGAGGATGGAATTCAGAGCGAGAACGTTGAGCGGCAAGTTTTCTGCTTTTACACTTTGCTGCAGACGTGTGCCACCCTCTCGTTTCGTCTCACCTCGCCTCTTTCTTTTTTTCAGTCTCAGACCGGTAGGATCATTAATGGATTTGTCGGCACGAGACGAATGTATTTTGTGCTTTGATTCGGTAGCTCGATTCTTTTTTTTTTCGAGTCAAGTATAGCGAATCAAAGTGGTCGTAAATACACATAGGCAAACACCGGAGAGGAGGGAGTAAAGTAGTAGACAAGCCGAGCGATAAAAGTTTGATGAAATACTTAAAACTTGGCTGAGCAGAAGGAAAGAAGAGAGAAAGGAAGTTGGAAACAATCCAAGGGTTTGCCATTCGCTCATTTGTACTGGGACGCGTGTTATCTGTATCCGCGGCGAAGCTATACACAGGCAAAGTTGCCTCTTTCTATTTGGCTCCGGTCTCACTTATATACTTTGCTCGGGACTTTGTTTACTCAGCGGCGCTCCGAGTTGTTTTTAAAACTTTACTCCACTCTCTCCCTTCATCAAGTTACTTATACATGTATATTATAGGCGTATACTCGGAACGAAACAAAAGTATTTTATCCGTCAATCTCATTGAATTTGCTGGAGCCAACAAAGCTAGAAACAGTATCGGTGAAATGTTGGCATGCATAATGCATCGGATGTCGATCGATTCGCTTGATCTTCCTCAATTACGGCCAATCGTCGCTTCGATCAATTATCTAATAATGATTCATATGCATCATCGCCTCACTGTTAATCATTGGATGAATACACATATATTACATTAGTGTAAACTTTATATAGAAATAATAGAGAGGCCGAGGGCATGAGCAGGAATCGCAGAGAGAGGATGACCGCTCAATATACAGAACATGATGACATTAGCGCATATCTGTCGCTCGTGATCCAATCGGGCGACGTTAGGGACACATCATTCATCGTCCAAAGTACAAATGATGAATAATCGTATATAGGCAGGGTGGCTGTATGATCCATACACAACGAGCGCAATTACGGTGGCGGAGAGAGAAAGAGCCACAAAATAAACATCGAGTGCGGCTCTATGGCTAGAGTCAGGGCTGGGAGGTAGGGGGCGCGGGGGTGGCGTACGCGGCAACGCAGAAAACCGTAGCCCCGGGGTCTCCATATAGGAATGTGGCAGGCACGAGGGCAGGCATGAGGCGTATTCGCGTGTATATTCAGCCGCGCGCGTATATACCTACGCGTATACGCCAGCTGCCGGCTCTCGTTTTCTGCGGCAGCGGCGTTGAACCTTCGGGCCGTCCTTTATCGCCCTTTGCCCTGTGTCGCGTGCGTGTGCGCATGGCTTATATAGCCAGCCACCACACTAGGATCCAATTAATTTTCTTTTAATTACCGCTCGTTTCAGCGAGCGAGCTAGACCAGTACCGTTGCGCGCTTCACGATTCTCCGCTGCGACTCTTGTACATTTGTCGACTGCCCGGCCACGTGATTACGTTTTTTTGACTTTGCAGCGATAGACTATAGCAGCCAATTTCTCCGCGAGTTTTCATTATTTTTCTGTTATTCCAACGCGTTGGCTCTGCTATTGCCATATATGTATATGATATTCATCCACGATCCACGACAATAATTAACGTTATTTGCTTAATTACGCTATTGACCATTTTATGTGCTATCTGGCGGGGCTCATCTCTGTGCGAATATTTATACAGGCCGCGCGTTTCGTTTTCCATTTGAAAGATGCAAAGTGGCGCGCGCTACAGAGCTCGCAATACAGCGACCAGCGCAAAAGAAACCATAAGTATAAGCCCTAGATAGCTCCCGCGAGATCCTGCGCTCGCTGCTGCCGAGTTAAAACCTTTCGAGTGCGGCTAAAAATAGGCCCCACCGGAGAGCAAAAAAAAAGTGAGAGAGAGAGCAAAAAAGTCTGCGTATATGTATATATAATGTGTAAGTAACCGTTCATCCCTTACTTATATTACCTCTTCTTTCTCCAGCGTAGACGATTCAAAAGAATAACGCTTCGCTCGGTCTGTCTCGCGAGCGACCTTTTAATTATCCCCTCACTGACGTTAAATTCTTTATCTGCCTCTCTCTCTTTTCTCTCTTCTCTCTTCTCTTGCGGGTTGAAACAATGCGTGTGCCAGTGAGCGAGTCTGCGAGAGAGAAAGAGACGGAGCCGTGTTTTCTGAGCAAACAGCAAAGGCCAATGTTGATACGCGGTAATAGAATAATCTGGCAGCTGATTCCGGGGATATGACTCGCGGCTATATGCTCGCCGAACTTGGAATCTAAACTGCAGCGCGCGCCGCACACGCAGTACCAGCACTAAGTAATACTTAGACCCTTTCCAAGGGCTATACCTACGCACATACATTATATACAGAATTATATAGCCGTACATAGACACACGGACAGAGAGCACGTAACGAGTGAGAGAGAACAGCCGCCGATTGCTCGGCTCGATCCTGCAGCCCGTACATTCGAGCTCCAACTTTCCAGTCTCTATACGTATATATGCGCGCTGATTTGATTCGCTGTATGGCTTGCTATTCGAGGGCTGTGTTTTGCTTCGCTCTGCGTCCTACGACTCATTTCAATTTATCCAAGTGCATGCGAGCTTATATATATGTATATACTACAAGCGCTTCACTAGTGCCCACCTGCGCCCTTGGTCTTACGAGCATCGGAACTTTTTTTCTTTTCTTTTTTCTACTTTTTTTGCCTCCCACGAGATGTGTCATGAACGCGTTTACGATTGTAACTACGTCAAATGTGCAAGAAGAAATGGCGCGCTGGAGAAAAAGATTTCCGGAAAAATACTTTCAACGGTATAGTCGGTATATGTGCATTTATAAATATTCAGCTGTACACGTAAATGCGCGTGGGCGAGTGTGTGTGTGTGTGTGAGTGAATACGAGCGAGTTTGTTGAGCGAAAAATTGAAAAATGCCAGACTTCACGTGCGCGAAAATTGAAAAACTCCCGGAAACGAGCTCTGCAAGACGAGCGGAACGCAATGTAAAATATGCCCCAGCTACATCAGCGCGTGCAGGATATGCAGAAGAAATTTCACAGGCTTTACGGCTTGCTACATGTCTCTCTTTTTATCATCTATGGATGCAATATATAAAAATGGCTTTGCCTATTCATATTCATATCCTATACTCGTACTCGTACAGAACAAGGATGTCAAAATAAATTGACTTGGAATAGAGTTGAGAATTCGTCTAGTCAAAAAAATATTTTTAAGTCACTGAAAGCAGAATTGCCGACAATCTTTACTCTATTTCAAAATTTATTGATAGAAAGACTCGGACATTAGAATTGTAACGACATTTATGAATAAGCACCCAGTTTTACGAAGACTAGTTCAAATCAGGTGAGTAGAAAAGAATAAAGCACCTACCAAGATAAATTGCTAGAAAATATGCGCATCGTATTTCCGCACGTCTGCTTGAGCAATTGGCTGTTGCATGGCAAATTTGCACTCTTTGACTTTTTAGTCAAGATATATTTTATCCAAACTTACGCTGCCGCTCGAACGTGTGAAATATCACGCACACATATCAAAGCTTTCATAAATCATATGCGTAGAAAAGGCATGAGACGAATAAGCAATAATTTCACTTCGTCCATGCATGAAATATGATTTATGCGGATGTAACCTTTGTAAATTCATTCTCATCAATCGAACAGTCATTTTAATACCAGTTCGCTCTTATCTTTTTTTTCAAACGTTTGAACAAATCTTTCTTAACTCATGACTCTGTACCGATCCTATTTTATGATTAAGCGATAACCTAGATAATCTAAACTTTTTGATGTACATAATTTTATGCAGCTTGAAGTTAAGTGAAGAAATTATAACGCAGGCAATTTATGATACCACGATACACGACGTATACTAAACAATTTAGGACGTATTTCGAAATCATAGCGCTTGACACATCAAAACGTATTACTTGTCACCTACAGCTGTTACTCGCATTTTAAAGCTTGAATTCTTTATAAAATGGTCATATGATCATCAGTCAAGAATAAAAACATCGCCTTTTAATAACGCGGTAGTCAATAATAATCTACAGATTAGAGGGTGCTGACACTATACGCGTTGGCGCTCGAGCGCGCGCGCGCGTGACAAATGCCCGGGTTAATGTACGCGTGGCTCAGCTTTTCACATCGGTGGATTACTTCAACTAATCCGCAAACTGTTGTTTAGATATATTTAATATAATTACAAGAAATTTCCCGATGATCGACTTAGAAAGATTTGGCCATATCTTCCATTTGATAATCCTAGTAATTGATAGAAAATCAATTATATGTATTTTAGGTTTATCTCGCAACGTTATAATTCAATTAATTGTCAGCTCTACCCGCTACTTTCAAATTGAAATTATTTCGAGCTTAATAATTCCGCATTTAATTATTTTTGAACAGAATTTACACGTATATTCAATGTGAACTTTTAGCCATACTCGTAACAAATGCCAATAATAATAATCATTTGCTGCACATATAAATGTGAAACACATACAATATTATGTTGTAGAATGAATCTAGTACGCATATAACTGTACTTTTGCTAATTAATAAATTAATGAGCGAATTAACAGGGAATATTCATTAGCAAACTTGATTGAACTTGCGAGAAGCTGCATAATATAAGGTAACTGCATAATATAAGCTATATATTATGATGCTCGTTTTACAATGCTGCGCTGCGCTTTATTACAAGATTCATCGGGCGAGCGCGATAGCTTCTAGTTTTTCCGGTTTAATCAAGCGAGTGATTATATTGCTGGCCGATCGATGTGCTCCAGCGGGCAACTCTGCTTTTCTTGCAAAAGTTACACGAGAAGATCTTCCTTACGCGCTGGCTCGATCCATTCTGCGCAGCAGCTAGAGTTAGTTTTTTTTTTGCGAGTCTTATCGTATGCCCGCGCCCCAAGAGCGACCTCGTAAAAAGCTTATTCGACTAATCGATGCATGAAAACAATTTCTCCTCGAATGTTCCTCGTCAATGATCCGGCCGATTGAGAAAAATCACAACTCAACGTCGGCATTATTTCGAAAATATTGACTCTCATCTGCAGAACAAACACCGATGAAATTTGAGTAATTGTTGTTAATTTTACTCGTGCTCGAGTCCCAACCGCATCGAAGCGTTACATGTACGAGTAATTTACACCCCAAACGATAGTTTACGCCTGCACCCAGTCCAAGCACTTATGTACGAGTGTGCGTGCGACGTACTACTAAGTGTTCGAGGGCCGTGCGTAAGCTGCATCGTGTGGATTGTATACTCAGGTGTGCCGACGGGGGATATATAAGTGAGAAGCCCCGACTCTGCGTACACAAAATCCCAAGAGTATCTTACTCGCAGATGACCGCAACTTGACCTAATTTGCTCCATTTCCAATGAGCTTCCGCAGCCAGTATGAAAGCAAAAGATTATCGTAAACGTGTCCAGTATCGATCCCATTTTTTTTTAATGCGAGTAAATTATTTTCAATATGTTTAAATTATTTTTCTTCTAAATGCTTTTTCATAACATGTTTTTGATTATAAACTCATAATTCAACGTGTTGTTAAACCTCATTTCTTCCCCTCTGCTTTAATATCATCAGTTCCTAGGGTTCCTTTTAATATTATTCAAGATTTATATTCATACAAGTATCTTAATGTTGCATTCATGTCGCATCTATTAAAATTAAGATTATCTTTTAAATTGTCAATTATTTGATGAAGTGACAAATAAAATAACACTTTCAGATTGATAATAATCACCCGTTTCTCACTACCCATTTTACGACTAATAATATAATCTTCACAACAAAACTGCTATAGTTGTCAGAAAAAATAAGCATGAAATCATACTGATAAAAATAAATAAATAAATTTCAATGTTGTTCAAAAATGCTCGCGTTCTTCAATTTACTCGATATTTTTGTGTAGTTTAAATTATTCAACTGTTTTTGAAATAATTTCGCTTCGTTGCGAGACATTATTCAGATAATAATATGAATCTAAAATCTTTCAATCAAAAGATGTGATACCGTATCTTCTAACTTATTAAAATGAAACGTTTTCTTTTTTATAATTTCTTATTACAACTTATTAATAATATTAATTCAAAAATTTTCAGACGTGTAAAATTATGCAGGGTTGCAACATTTAAGAGATAAATATATTTATACATATGTAACGAGATTTTTGTTATACTTATAAATTACATTTAATCGACGAATGAAAATTAAAAATACAATATTTTTGATATCGCTGTTTACTCCAAGTCTGCATTTTTATCGACAGTCAAATTTATTGCGAAGCTCTGCTGACAGCGAACGTTCACAAAATTCGACACTTGCGTTCGATTATTCATTGAATGCAGAGTTTTCTCACGATTCTCTAGCTTAATCATTTTTCAACTAATATGGACGTTAAGGATAAAGTAGTAATTGTGACCGGAGGGGCTCGAGGTATCGGATATGCAATCGTCGAACATTTTTTAAAAAATGGAGCACAGGTCTGCACAGTATCAAGAGTGTCCTTATTCAAATAGCTAAGCTTTCAATTGAATTTTTTACTTCAGTATGTTGGCGTATTTGATCTGTTTGAAAGAGACGACGACCGAGTCACCAACAGTTTCAGCAAACTCGCCGGGACATTTGAAGAATCGAGATTCGAATACTACAGGTGCGACGTAACAGACGATAAACAGTTTCGAGGTACAGCTTCAGAAAAAAAATGTTTTCTCGTAAGTCGAGCTTTTGATTATCTTTGAATTTATGTTTGCAGACAATTATATGAAAGTTTTGAAGTTGAAAAACTACGTGGACGTTCTTGTCAATAATGCTGGCGTGGCAGATGAAAATAATTACGCTCGCATGATCGACATTAATTACGTAAGTCTTATGCGATTGCGCATAATCAACGTGAGCCGTTTAATATCATTGACTTTTACAGACGGCCGTCGTACGAGGAACTTTAATCGCAATTGAGCATATGAGATTAGACAAAGGTCACAAGGGTGGAGTTGTTGTAAACATCGCTTCATTTTTAGGTTTAGTCAACGCTTCTCTAGCACCTGTTTACAATGGCACAAAACACGCCGTTGTGTCTTTCACTCGTTCCATGAAGGTAGGCACTTGGTAGTTTTACTGAATATATGATTTCTAAATTCTAAATGTGATATTGCAACATTTGTTCGCAGTCACATTTTGACAAATTGGGTGTTCGAGTTAATGCTGTGTGCCCTGGTATGACGGTGACGGACATGATTGAACCGACAACTATGCGCAAAAATGTTTTTGAATTCGTTACTGACGAAATGGTGCACGAGCCTCTGAGCGTTTATCAACAGAAGTAAATTTGTATTTTTTAATTTTCCGAGTACATCTTAGCTTATACTAATATTATGTTTTCTATCCGTAGACCCGATAACGTTGCATTCGCCGTTGTAGAAATAGTTCTAAAAGGCAAGCCAGGAGACGTTTGGTTGGCTCAAAATGATGAGCCATACGTAAATACTGGAGAAGAAACTGATTTGAATAAGTTGCGAGTTCCTTTTTAATATTTTACAAAAACCACTGGACGAGTTTGAGTCTCTGCATATAAAAATCATCTGTTTCATACTGTTATCATTTTTTTCTATAAAATGTTATGCTTTTGGCATTTGACAAAAAAATTAAATGAGTGATTATTAACATGAAAATTGCAAACAAACTTCTTGCCTTTTTTCTGCATCAGTTGCGTGAAATTTATTTTAATACATTTTTTGACGCATTTATTGCATCACCACAATGCATTTGATTAGCGTTATGGCCGTGTCTTACGAGGCACATCGAGGCGTGCGTAAAACGTTCATAACGATGAACAGACGACAACGTGCTCTGCACGCGACATAAAAAGCCACGTAATTTTTCGTGCATTACCGAGCTTTCATAATACAAAGTCCTCGTGATTTGCACTTATAAATTTTAAAAGTTTCATAATTCATTAAATCTTACATATGAATACCTACAACTTCAATTTAATTCACTTGTCAGCATATAAATTAGTTTACGGACAAATCAACTAGGTGAAAATTACTCGACTAGATCAACAACCGCGAAACCAATACTTTTACTACATTCCTTGTTTTGATATTTTAATATCTTCTATTTATTTAAGATAGTAAACTCGGACTAACATGTAAACGCTTATACGAATATCGGATCCACTATATTAATTCGGTATATGATTTAAACAGTGATTTGATCACACAATCATTGACGATGGAAGTTCGAAACTAGATAATATGTGTTAAAATGAAAAAAAAACAGTTGTGCCTATTTGTAAGAAGTTAAAAAATCAAGCTAGAAGACGATTAGATTGTTGATCTAACGTAACGCGAAACGATAAGCACGTTTGCTGCAGCGTTAAAACTTTTAAAATGTATTTGAAGGACATCTCTTTACTTTCTTCGAATTAAATTAGTTAATAAAAGCTAAAGGTCTCATAGTGCAAAATGAAATGATGAATATATAGCTGAGAAGGGAGTTTTTGTTTTGGTACTGCAGAGGTTCAGCGTTTATTTTAATATGTTAATTGCAATATATGCGATGCGCATTTGCAGTCCGTCGCTTTCGATTAGCTCGTTACATTCGGCGAAATACGCGAGAGATATGTAGATGTAGGCTCGCCTTAGAGGGTGGATCGAACTCTGGTGTTTGCCTGGGTCCAAGTAACAACGCGCGCCCCTGCATAGACGCACACATAGGTACAGGTATATTACGCGATACGCACAACGCGCAGATCAAAGAGCATCGAGCTCGCGATTATCCGTCCGACGGGGCGAGAGGATTCACCGCAGCTATATAGGTGTTGCGTACCCGTGGGCATTGGCAGGCTTTTATACGCGCGCCTGCCAGAATATGCGAGTTTATTCTCGTGAATATCGACCACAAGGGCTTTTCCAAAATTTCGTAGAAATTCTATCCGGAATAGATGCAGCGATAGATACGGTAATGCATTTATCTCGAAGCTTTCGTGATAACTCGAGCTGAGATAACTTTTTCGAAGCGTAGACGAGCGACTCGCAGTCTCATTTTTCGATTACTATACGCTCGCTTTCTGCATCACGTTAAATTAGTTCGTGTACCTGATGTTATTTACGTTTCTTATCGTGCAGCAAGCCGATAAAATCCAAGTGACTTGTTTCGGTACATTCTTTACAACTTCAGTACAGCCGAATGGGTGTAGAAATTATTGAAATAACGAGTCGTTACTAATGATGACTCGTACGATTCATTTGAGCACTTTGATGCAGTACATGAAAAAAAAAAATTAACAATATTATCAGCATTTCGAGCAAATTTCAAATCATTAATCAGGTACTTGAGCACGCATCGAAATAAACATGTATCATCGAAATGTCGAAATTGCAAACTTTTCAAGAAGAATAATAAATAATGATAAATAAACTGGCGATAAATCTATCATACGGAAATCAACAAATAACTGTATCGCCAGTGGATAGAGAATACAATGAACTCTGGCTGACGAGTCGCGGGCTTTCGAGGAAAAAGTGCTGAAATGATCGATTGCTGCGTTGGCGCACGTTGCCGAAGCAGCTCGCTTCGTCCGATGCTCCTCGTCGTCGATGCTGCTGCTGCTGCTGCTGTACGAAGGGACGAGGAGTACTCGATTGAGAGAGAAAGAGAGCGACAATAAGGGAGGGGGACGCGTTCGGCAGCGCAACGCCCTTCGCGGTTTGCTTCGCCAATGGCTCGCCGACGCCCTCCGTGCGCGCTCGGATCAACCTCCCGCTGGCTCGAACCCTTAGAGGCCCCCGTGTGGAGGGGCTGCGCGCGCATTTCGCCACTCGGCATGATAGGACACTTGGGAATATTACCTACGCGAATCGAGAGAGAGAGAGAGAGAGAGAGACGTGCATATAACTCTGCACCTAAGCGGCTGTCTTACGCCGCTTTCACTCCAATATAATATGCATATGGCTTTTGCAGTAACACAGCGCAAAGTAGGTTCAAATAACGTAAACGACGAATCTGCTACATCATATATGCGTACGTGTATATCGCTGTAAATGCTAATCGTTTTCATTATTATCTCGATTGACAAAGTAGCCAACTTGTGTCGATCGTAATTGTTTGCCATTCAAAAAGCCAAACTCAAAGTTTAATCGAGTATACTAAACGGTGGAGTTGTTTTGCTTTAAAAACGAGAAACTGTATAACTCACTCAATTTTGTCGAGATTCGCGTCTGGCATCTGTGTGCCTATTCTTATAGTCATAAGTACAGATTTCAGACTAACAGACTTTTGAAACATTACCCAAATTTAGATTCTAACAAATTTGGGTAATCCATGCGAAGTTGCTTAATCTTTTAGAGTGACACGCATCACGGACCGATCACGTCGAATCCGCAAGTTTTTGCTTGGATTCTAATGAAAAGCTGTCCGGCAGTACGGAGCACGGCTTCTCGCTGGTGCACCTTGGTAACACCCCCCCTGGCGCGATTGAAGCGCAACGCGCGCACAGACGCATTATATAGGCGAGAACATCGCACACGCGTATTAATAGCGAGAGATGGGAATCCTGAGCCAGCCGCGCAGCAGCGGGAGCTTGCCAACAAGCTGTCACTTTGCGTAATTCACGCAGCATTCGGTATCATAGCCGTGCCAATATAGCGAAAACATCCAACGGCTTCGCGCATACGTCGCGCGTACCGTACGTCTGCGTGCACCCACACACACACGCTTATAAAATATAGCTATCCCCGACTCTTGACTCGTCGTCGCTCTATTTGCCGTACATCTCGCGCCGCCCTAGACACCCCAGCCCCCTACATTATGGACAGCTATCACTTTACACTCGTAGCTTTTATGTATTTTTATTACGCTCTAACGAACGAAGATCCTGCTCTCGCTGCACCCACCTACACAACTTTACCTTCCAAATTACAACATCAATCGTGCGAAAAACAGACTCGCCGATCGCAAAAATTCGGTCGATACATCTAGCGTTTTCTGTTTCTTAATATCGTTGTGCGAGCAATTTTTTCCTTTCCTGGATTCTGGGCCCTTTTCCAATTATATTGTACTTGATTCGTGGAGATGAGTTCAAGGTAAAAGTCTATTCGAAATTGTGAATAATCACAGCAAAACATCAAAGAGCTGCGTTTGTGTTATTTATTCAAAGTAAAACGCTTTTATCAGAAAATTTCATACGTGTTGCTGCATGAATTGAAGTGCAATGCTGTTCCAAAAACTTTCATCGGAACTAATGAAATTGCAAGAAAATCTGTAGAAAAAATTTAAAACTTCGAGAAACGTCCATCGTTGTGATAATTACAAGTTTTGGATTTTTAATCGTGAGTCGAGCAAAGGCAATATCGACAGATGGAATAAAATACATGGGCAGCTTAGATTGCGCGAACGAGGGAGCTTAAATTTTCCAGCCGACTGACTCGCGCCTGGCTCGCTGCTCTCGGCCCTCTGACAAATCTAGCCTTTGATTTGCTCGATTATATGTGCCTTTTGCCGAGAGACAGGACAGGTGTAACGACGGCTTTGTTCGTTTGATCTGTGTGCATGTGTAAGGCAAAGACAACTTCAGCTGCTCTAGGCCGGCTTGATTCTTGCACCGAGACTCGACCTTTATATAATATATACCTGCGTGCACACAGCTGAAGAAAGAGTGTTAATTTACATGACAGAAAGCGTAGGAGACTCGTACTTTTTCCGCCCTTTTACAACTGCTCAACTTCATTTTCTTAATTAACTTGCAAATTAGACTCGAATTTTACTTACATTATAATAAAACTTATTCGATGTTACATTTATCATAAATTCACTTGTCCGTGCTCTTGTTCAAACGTTATGGCCATTAATTTATCTGTAAAAAAACTCGTAGTATAGCGACAGGTAATAATTTGAACATTTTGCCTCCGATCATTTGAAATTATTTAAAGTTAAAAATAATATACTGAGAGTTTTAAAGGACGCGACAGTCCAGGCTGAGATAAAACAGCCCAAGGGGTTGTCTGGCACCTAATTAGAGTAACGTCAGAATCTTCAGACGCGTTAACCCCGTGCTCGGCTCGGCGCTCGTTTAATAATAAAAATAATAATAAAATAATAACAATAGAATTATACATAATCCAAGCTGTGCTCGGAGAAATATTATAATATGGCGCGGAGAGACGCTGTTTTACGTATATATACGCAGGTTTGCGCTCGCAGCGAAGAAAATTCTTTTCACGCGCTCGCTTCCTACCTACAATGGGATGATAAAGTTTTCTTTGGGCGCCGAACGAGAGAGTCTCTTTCTCCTCTTTGAAAGCTCCTCTCCGTTCAGCCGCCGCCGCTACCTCCACTCCTGCGCTTATATATACCAAACTTTCGCGCTCTATATCTATATGTCTGGCTCGGCGCGTAAAGCTCGAGGGTAAGATGAAGAGGCAAGGAAGCTTTCATATGAAAGTACCTTCTTCGATATCATCTCATTTTGTTTCAATTTTTTTTCCTCCTTTTTCCTCTTCTTTTACTTACTGCTCTTTTGGCTTTTTCCTGGTATCTTCTCTTACTCTTCTGCATATAACTCATATAATACATTGTACAATATTTTACTCCAAA